AGAACTATACCCCTTTCAGTCAAATGCCTGTCAAATCTCTTCTTAAAAGCCTGCAGTGATGAACCACCCACAACTTCTGGAGGCAAGCCATGCCACTGGTTAATTGTTCTCACTGTCAGGAAATTTCTCCTTAGTTCTAGATTGGTCCTTGATTAATTTCCATCCATTGCTGCTTATCCTGCCTTTAGGTGCTTTGGAAAATAGGCTGATCCCTTCTTCCTTGTGGCAGCCCCTCCAATATTGGAACATTGCTGTTATGTCAGTACCCTAGTCCAAGGGTATCAACCTCGCGTCACCACATGACATATTGGGACTTTTTTCCCCCTTTGCTAAATTGGGCAGGGCGGGGCCAGCACGTGATGCATGGCCCACAGGCCGTGAGTTTGACACCTCTGCCCTAGTCTTTCTTTTCACTTGATATACCCAAATCCTGCAACCATTCTTCATATGTTTAGCCTCCAGCCACCTGTTGCTCTTTCCTGTATTCTTTCCAGAGTCTCAACATGTTTTTTTAATAATATGGTGAGCAAAACTGGAGGCTATATTCCCAGTGTGGTCTTACCGAGCTATTATAAAATGATACTAACACTTTACATGATCTTGATTCTATCACCTCTGTTAATGCAGGACTACATTGGCTTTTTTGGAGGCTGCAGCACACTGATGGCTCATACTTAAGTAGTTGTATTCTTCTTCTGTTTTTGCTTCCAAACTATTGATGTTATCACAAACACTGATTGAAATGGTAGTGTCTTAGTGGCCATTCTTATAAATCAAACAAACCTACCACTTCGTTCATCTATGCTCTCTCAAATATTCAAAGAAATTATAATAGTCTCCTTGGCTCAGTTGAAAAACCTATCATATACCCCATATTAAGTTTTTAATTTCTCATTTCGCTCAATAACTGAAATATGCTGAAAAGTTATATTGCAGTTGTGGCTTAGTGCCTGATTAGTTCTTACATTGTGGATTTTTTTTCCAAGTCATGGTAGCTTCCATGACCAGATGAAAGCTCTTGCTAAGTCTAATAAGATAGAGAAACGAGGTAGGGTTGCTGGCATGAGTGCAATGATGCCTATTACCTGGATGTTTCTGGATTTTTGAATGTGGCTTTACAGTATGCACAAAGTTCTGTGCAATTATTGGGTGTCTATTCTACAAGGTGAATACAGAATGTGTATTAAAGGGAAATGCTGATTAAAAGTATTGCTTCAGACAATCCCCTGGCAGAAGTTGTCATTCATGTGTTAGCTTGAGAGTTATTGTTTTTGATCCAATATCCAAGAAGGACCAGACTGGAGATAGAAGCTCTAGAAATTAGACTGCTTAATGGGAACATTTTGGTAACCAAGAAAGCTGGCATGCAGATTTCTTACCAAACCTAACTTGCTGCATAGTAATGTTCTACTACATCTGATGTTACAATCCAGAATGTATCATTCAGTATTACTGAAGTTTTACTAATTTGTGGATTCGTTGGTCATATTTCTTCCACAAACTGAGAGTTCATTGGGTTTTTACATTTAAATCTGCTTGCTCTTCATTCTTGAATACTTTCCTAATAAGGTTGAGGATTCTTGAAGTATTAAAAAAAAAGCCCTGTTGATTTTTTATTACAAAGCCTAAATGAAAAATGAAAAAAAACAAAAAACCCACATTTCAGATACCTTGGACAGAATGTGAGACTATAAGGCAAAAGAGATTGTCTTAGGAGTGCAAATGAAAAGTTAACCAAGGATGTTCTTCCTTCATTCCCCATCAATCCCAAAGGAATGGGGTGGGATGTTATAAGATAAGGGCATATTGAATCCAGCTGCACCCAACATTTTCTGACAACTACAGAAAACTCATCCAGAAAAAGGTCCCTGAGGAGTACAGTTAAGGGATGGCTGAGATCATTAATATCAGCTGCTTTGAATAATTTACGTAATCTCCATTGGTAAATGCTCAGCACTTCATGTTTTTATTTATGGCTCTCATTTCTCACACCTGCTCCATGGAAATGGATGTTCATCGCCCAAGAATGCTGACTTAGAATGACTGGAAAACCCGGTTTATTATTTGGAGTAAGCATTCAGATGCCCACTGTCCAGCCACTTCCACCTCTCTGCTCCAGTAAATGGAAGCAAACAGAGACTACAATGAAAAAAATATTTATATTATTGTTTGGAACCAGACGTTTAGACTGATTTATATATTTAAGGTGTCTTGTGGAACAACAAGGTACCGCCCAGATTTTGCCATAAATCTAAAGTGGTCTGTCCTAGCTATTTTCGGATGGCCTCAGATTGCAAAGGAAGTGAACTGACAAAAGCAGGCATACCAGCAAAGTTGCTCTGAACCACAGGCCAAAATTCTCAGCAATTCTGGGTTAGCATTTTGCAAAACTACATTGACTCCAAACCCTTACTATTCAGCAAATATTCACTTTTCATATTTAATTTGACCTGTTTTCTGAATGTTTTTGATGCTATACTCCACCAGAGGCCAAAGAGGGAGAAACTCAAAAATACCAATAGTCCTTAATTTGCAATCATTCATTTAGCAACCATTGAAATTGCGATGGCCCTGAAAAAGTGGCTTACGCCTGGTCCTCTCACTTATAGCCATCGCAGTGTCCCTGTGATCACGTGATCAAAATTCAAGAGCTTGACATGTAGTTATGATAGTTTGAGGGGGGGGGGAGATCATAGGATCATTTCCCATCTGACTTCCGACAAAGGCAATAGGAGGAACTAGATTTGCTTAACAGCTATAATGAATCATTCAATAACCATGGCAAAAAAGTCATAAAATCAGACATGTCTCATTTAACAACTGCCCTATGTGCCTATAGACTGAAATCCAATTGTAAAGTCATGGGCTATCTGTGGTATGCTTCAATGTTCCTTGCACTGAAGAATTTGCAGGTTTTATTGTAAAAGGGAACCTATTTCTGGCTTGTTTGTTCTCTAAGGACCATCACATTATTTGCCTTTGAGTAACCTGCCACAGGAAGGGTTTTATAAGCATAGACGCTTTCAATTTAATTGTTTAATTAATTATTTTCTCGATACCACATGACCCCAAGTCAGCTTGTTAACATAAAAAAGGGCTTTCAACAAAAGGATTTCTAGGGAGTTGCTAGAAAATGCAGCTTGAGCATGCACCCTGCGACTGTTTCCTAGCTACAATTACTGTCAATAGACAATTTAGGGTGTAGATGATATGGACAATCTGCGGAGAAAGCAGCCCTGCTCCTAACACAAGCATATCAGAACTAAAAGCATTTAATTCACTGTTTATCTCTTTTGGTGGATAGTATTCTGGTTAAAGGGAGCCATAATTTGGAGGGCATCACTCTACAGGCTCATGGGATGACCCAGTGGCATGGATCTTAGTGGTTTATTAGCAATAAGTCTGTGTTGTTTGGTATCTTAATGCATGATCAACATTCTTTATACATGTGCTACTCTTTTTTTAGTCAGGCATGTGATCTTTAGCATTGGGTCATTGGAATATATTAAAGAAGCAATTCTTTAAAAGGAAGGAAACGTGTTGAGCTTTTTTACATCATAACGCCGAGTGTGAGGATCTATATCTGAAACAATCACTTTGCCCATTTGTTCCATTGTACGTTTTTCTTCAATTCTTGAATTATTATTTTTTGTTCCTTACCTTTCTCCATGAGGTTAGGGACCTAGTTTTCTTTCTTTCTTTTTAAAACCAATCAGCTCACATAAGCGCGTAATCCTGTTTCCAGATGGACATTGTAGTACAAAAAGTGGTGACAAGGAAAATCTCTTCATCCCATCCTTTCCATTTGCAGCACACACACACACACACACACACACACACACACACACACACACAAACACACATACAGAAAAAGAAAAGAAAAGAAAAGAAAGAAAATGCACAGCAGTTTTAAGGGTCTACATTCAAAATGCAAATACCTCCTCTGGGCTTCTCCCCTGAGTTTTAAAGGGTTTTCTTATTTGCATTTTCATCCCTCCTTCTGTCCTTAGCGGTCCTTTCTTTATTCAGATGTACTTAGTGGTGCATTCATTGTGAATCTTCTGTACTCTGCACAGCATAGCTAGCTGAGGGTCTCCTCGTACAGTGATGCAGACTAGACTTGGCAAGAAACTTAGGGGGGTTGCCTGTAGCATCTACCATAATAATTGACCTTGCTTTTCATTAAAATGTTGTCCTCCTTTGTTCTTTCTCGGCTTTGGCTTTTGTTTCATCGATGCGTGGTGAAAAGAAGTCTGAAATGCTTTTGCCTTTTGTTAAAATGTTTAGGGTCTGTCTGTCTATCTATCTATCTATCTATCTATCTATCTATCTATCTATCTATCTATCTATCTATCTATCTATCTATCTATCTATCTATCTATCTATCTATATCACCGTCCTCTTGTTTATGCACCACCCCACCACCTTTCCAATTGGTCTGATAAATTTCACACGCTGCTTGCATCAAAAGGTAATATCCTCAGCTTAATTGTAAGCTAAATCTCTCTTAATCCAGGGGAGCATTTGAGATTCTATCCAAGTGTTCAATTTCCCAGGCCACTGAGGTCTGTGAATTTCTTTCTCCAGCCTCCAGGCTGCTGCAGCACAAGTCAGCATAGCTAATGCAGATAGATCTCCTCCCCTTCCACGCACAGTCTCTCTCTCTCTCATACACACACACACACACACACACACACACACACACACACACTCTTTCCCTCTTTCTCTCTCTCTCTCCCCCCACCCCCCTGTCTCATTCCTCTCCTCCCACCAACTCTATACTCCCCCACCCTTGAGAAAAAAAAAAGCTGTGCTTTGATTCGATATGAACAGACTGGCAACTCCGGTGCTCCAGCAACATCTGACATAACTCTGCAGATGGCTATGTTCGGATGATACACCTAAGGCTTGGGGGTGTGTGTGTTTTTTGTTTTTCCTTCAGGACGGTAAAGATCTATATGCTAATCCTCTCTTTTTCTCCTTGTTGCCATCTTTTGCAGGATTGCCAGCCCCCAAGAAGAGCCCAAAGTCGGTAAGCACTTTTCAGCTACTAGACCTGTTTGATTATTTTTGTCTGGGGCGTGGGTGGGTGTTTCTTCAAATACAGATAAAAATAAGGTGGGAAGCTAGATCTATATAGTCGGCTCCCAATCCTTATCCCCCACCCCCACCCCCACCTTAGCCAGTCCCTTTAAAAGTTGCCCGATAACCATTTTATTGCTGCACTAATTGCTTGGCATGGCTTTTGCTGAAAGGGGGTGGGGAAAGCAGGGCAGAAAGTGGTTAATGAAATTGATGCGGGCAGGAAGGCTTGCCTTGAAATCAGTTGAGTAACTTACATATTTCTTCTTTTAATATTGGGCTACGGAGGCATTTAATTTAGACTTGAAATGCCCTTCCTTCCTTCCTTCCTTCCTTCCTTCCTTCCTTCCTTCCTTCCTTCCTTCCTTCCTTCCTTCC